GCCCATATATCTAACCCCAACCATACTCAAACTGTCATTCAGGCTCGCTTCCCTAATGGTTTGCCAAACCAGCCCATCATTCATCCCCACAAGCAGCATCCAATTCATAGCCATGCTATAAACCATGCTCAGAACCAGATTGCCACTGCGCCCTCACAAGCCCAAGTGCAAGCTTACCTGACACAGGCAGAGAGGGACCAAAGTAGAAATCTACGACTGAATGATTATGGCAATGGAGTGAAGCTGTTTGTCTCAACAGAGGATGACACCAAACCTCTCGGCAGAGGTCCTGGCGAAGATTTTGCTTTAAAGAATTCTGCAGTTCCTCCCATTGGCAGAAGAGTCCAAGGTTCATCTCGACCAGTTTCCTCTGTAGAGGCCAACAACCCTCTTGTCACCCAACTTCTTCAAGGCAGCCTACCCTTAGAGAAGGTCTTACCCCAGCCTCACTCAGTCAGCAAGCTGGAAATTAATCGACTTCCAGGTGCCCCTGCCGGTAACTCAACCAGTCGCCAACCTCCAAGAAATCTGGGACCACGTTTTAGAGGCCTGTCTGAGTCAGGAGGATCTATAGAAACTGGTGGATCTGACTTCCAGCACAAAGCCCCATCCGCCCGAGTGTCTCCTGGACCTGGTCGGAACTTTGGTTCTTCACCACCGGGTTCTACTCCATCTCGAATGGCATGCTTGTTTGAGGAAGCTAGCCCAAGATCCGCAAATGTTCAGTTCACTTCTCAACAACCCGGAGGTACAGTGCCCCCCGGAGCAGTACCTGTCATAACATCCCTCCCTTCAAACTCCTCTGCTAGAATCTCAATGGATGTGAACTCTCAGAATGCTCCAGTTTATGAATCGGCTGTCATTAAAGAGCACCCTGGACCTCTTCCTCCAAGGGGTGAAACTCCGGAGAGGCCAGCTGGCTTTCAACAGCATCCTAACAATCTCTCCCAGTCTGTGTGCAGAACCACACCTGATGCTCCCTCACCTCCACATGGCGACCTTTGTCCATCGGAGGTTGTTCCTACTGTTAAGATTAACTGGCGCCCGAGCAAACCCCAACCACCTCAGCATCAGACATATCAGCAACAGCTCTCTCCTGTAGCTACAGTAAAGAATGAAGTCTCCTCACGCCCTTCGTGCCAACAAGCTCTGACCAAAAACTCACCTGCTCCAAACAGTGGCAATACTTCTATTGTAATAACCAAAAAGGAGCCTCTGGACAATTTTCATGGAGGTGGTGGAGCTATGGAAGGACTGCTAAATATGGAAATGTCTCTTGTTAGAATGGCCAAGAAGGAACGAGTCAAAAATCCATATGGCCGCCAAGCAGACACCTCCACTTCTCCTGTCTCCTCCTCCCCTTCCTCATCGGCCTCCAGTCTCCCTTACCAGCTATATGGCAAGCTACCAAAACTACAACAGAGTGGGGGCAACGGAGGGTCCTCATCCAGCTTCAGTTACACAGCTAATGTGTCCGTGGTGGACGGTAACGGGTTCTCCCGCAGTTTAGCCGATGGTGTGCTGCAGCTAAGGCCACGTGTGAGCGTCAACAACAGTGGAGGCCAGAATGCTACACTTAGCATTCAGGCATTCGCGGACAGCGCTGCAGAAGAAGTGGCTCTCAAGTGTTCCTGCCGACTTAAGGCTATGATCATGTGCCAGGGCTGTGGCGCTTTCTGCCATGACGATTGCATTGGCCCCTCAAAACTGTGTGTGTCATGTCTGGTTGTCAGATAGTTTGTTGCAGCTCCTCCAAACTGAGCCGGTTGGTCAGAGCAAATGCTTTGACCACTCCAGAAAATTCTAGCCCTTTGCCTGTGGTTGGATACCACTGGAAGTCTTGGACTCTTTTGAACAAAGAATGAGGCAGGACACTGCATTGTTCAAATGGGACATTTTTTTTTTTTCTTTTTTTTTTTTGATGGGCCAGGCAATACAATAGGGCTGGAAGATTACTTGTAAGATAAAAAAGTCAGTCTGTATTTTTGTTGCATATTTTTTCTATTGCTGTTATGGTGTTATTATTATTATTATTAATATTATTATTATGATTACAGTAATATTGATATTGTTGTAATTATTATTGGTATTATTACATGAATTTACATGGCACGGTTGATTGTAAATTGTGCCTTTTTTTCCCCCAACAAAACACCTCATCTTTACCTCATCTTCTTGACACCAGTCATCAGTTCAGTGTGAAAATGGTGGCGTACCTGTTTGTTTTCTTCTCTTGAATTCCTCTCAGTGAAGAGAGCTTTAGAAGAATTTTGTGTGTAATGTCTTGCAAAGATTATTTTTTTAATCATTAAATAAGAAAATACATTTTTGTTATTTTGTAAGTGCTTTCACTCTTCTTTTTGTTTCCATTTTTATTTTCTTATCCAAAGTGAAGTCCAGTCTGTACTTGGCGGTTAAGCACAGTATTCAAATCTAATAAAGCTGAAAGTTAGCGTATTTTCTCTATTTGATCTTTTTTAACTGAGGGTAAAGTGGGCCAAAGTTGTGTTTGGGGAAAAAAGGTATCATTGTATCATCACAGTGATACATTGGTATCATTGTATTTGTTTCCACAGCATGTGCAGATATTTCTTTTAATGTCACCCATTTAGGGAGTATTTGTTGTCTTCAGCCCTCATAATAATGCATACAGTATGGTCCGCACTTTCAGAAATCTAAATTATGCATTTAATCATTTAATCTGTCTCACATGTGAGCCCAATGTTTATCAGTGTTTAGAATTTATTTAATTTTACATTAAATGTTTGCAGAGACAACGGTCTGAGTTTGTTTCAAAATACATCCATAATACTGTAAATTGATTTACAAGTCAATTTGGACCCTCTAGTCTTTGCTACATTTGGCACCTTATTGTTAATTGTATGCCACATGCACACTTTCGTTTGCATAATGAAAATATCATTTTAAAAGTGAAGGATTTTGGTCATGAAATAGATTATATAAATGTATAATTCAAAACTTTTTTTTTTTTTTTTCAATTAGTGCATTCTACATCACTGGACAAAGTGCACATCAGAGCATTACCACAATTCAGAGCACCATTTTATAACTTGTTACACAACTATAGACTATACCTTTTATACTTCTATATAGCAAAAAGCAAATGCAAAGGCCCTGAAAACAGTACAAACCCAAGACTATTTCAAATAGTTTTTCATCTTAAAATCCCTGAAATTGTACGACACTGATTATGTTGGACGATCACATTTTTAAACGTGCCACTGTATTTTCACACAATATAAGTGTAATTCAGCACACAATTAGACTTTTTTTTTTTTTTTTTACAAATCCATTCACCAGAAGAATATTTTGATTTTCACTTTTCATAGTAAACCTAAGAGCTGAAACTAGATGTTACATAACTCACAAAACAAGAGAATACAGTGCATTTATGATTTATTAAACTGTTAGCCACTAATGTCCATTTGAAAATGTCACTGCACAAATAACATGAAACGTAGATTAATAAATCAGTTTTCACTGTTTCTTGATTCCATGATTAATGGTTAGCATTCTAGACCATGAATCCAGATCCAGCATTGGGAATTTTCCTTTATAGATAAATAAAATTAAGTATCTCTGCCACCTGACTTGGCAGAACAAAGAGTGGTGAAATTCTATGAGAAAGGTTATCAGGATAATGCAAAAAGAGAATTCTTGATGTGACAGTGCTAGGTAGATGCGAGTAGTTTAGAATAGACTATTCACTGGAAGGAGAAATCTACTTCTCTCTGTAGTAAAGAAGATACATCTTGAGAGGCTCTGGCAAAGGCAGGCTTAGGATCCTCTCTCTTAAGAGGTTTACTGGAGTCTCTATCACCAAAACACTGCCCTCATTCCTTCTCTCATTCTCTTCAAGTTGTTCACAAACTCTTCTGCAGTCTTCATCTTCATCCTCATTGTCTGTGGATGACTGGTTGTTGTTGTTGTCCATGGGTCCGGGAATCAAGCGACTCATGAACAAATAACTATTGGTCAGAAGAGGGGTGTCACGATGCTCTCGTCTCTGTTTAAGGGGATTTCTTCGCTTCAATCCAGTTCTCCGTGGTAGCGGCAAGGATCCAGACCCGGATTTCTTGAGAATGTGACGGATGGAGATGCGGGCCAGATCCTGAAGACTCCGCACCTCGAACATGGCAGCTGGACAGCATGAAACATGGGGGTTTTTGACTGCATTTATGCATATACACCAATCCTATTATCATTATACTCAATATACACTACAGGTCAGAAGTTGGGTTGGTAAGATTTTTTTTTTTATCTAGTATTTATTATTATTTCTATTTTTTTTTTATCTCACAAAGGCTGCATTTATTTGATTTAAAATGCTGTAAAAACAGTAATATTGTAAAATATTATTACAATTCAAAATATTTTCAAATGTAATTAATTCCTGTGATGTCAAAGCTGAATTTTCAGCAGCTACGACTCCAGTTTTCAGTGACACGAATCATGACTCATGACATGATCTTTCAGAAATCATGTTGAAAACAGTTGAAGCCATATGAATTTTTTCAGCATTCTAACATATATGAATGATAACAATGTAAAAAATTTTGTAACAATGTAAGTTTTTACTGACACTTTTTATTCTTGCTAAATTAATTTTTTTTTAATACTTTTGAACCGTAGTGTACAGTGCTGTTCAAATATCCAATAGAAGTGAAATTGCTTCTATTTTGTATTTTTCTAATTTAATATACCAAAATAAAAAGGCCACAATAATCTAATTTAATTAAACAATTTAAAATACAGCAGGTGACTTACGTAGAGACACTGCTCTCAGTTTGCCATTTTCTCTGTGTTTAGGGAGCACAAGTGGTGCGAAGGACACAGCAATTATCTTTCTCGTCTCCCATGTGTTATATCCTGTCCGGGTAATTTTAGTGAGCTAGAACAAATTAGAAATGCATAGACATATATAAATTTCACACACAATCTCTCCTGGATTACCTGAAACCAGATGTACTATAAAATTGCTTTGCCTTTCAATTATTCACCTTTTCTTCCAGAGGCAGTACTAAGATGCCCCCAACCTTCAACAGCTTCTTCATGTAGTCTTCATGTTCTCTCTGGACCCCTGCGCCACAGTAAACCCTGTCATACTGCCTGCTTTCTGGGGCAATCTCCAGACAGTTACCCACCACAAAGGAAGGCTCACAGAACTCAAACCTAGACCAAAAATATTGACAATGTCAGTCACTTCATTTTGCACACTACACTTTGAGCAAGGGAATGAGTTTATATTAATATAAAAGTAAACACCCAAAAGTTACTACACCTGTCAAAACTATCATTTGTCTTGATGAAGAAGTCCAGCTTCTGATAAGCATATTCTATAACATCTTCATGTAATTCCACACCATGATTCACACCAAATGCTCCTGGAAATATGACAGATAAATTCAGTGAGCATTATGGCATATGAAGAAAATGCACTTAAAGAAAAAACAGGGTTCAATGTTAATAACTCAAACGCAAATTTAAAAAAAAAAAGTGTCCTCATGTACTCGCCCTTATGTCGTTCCAAAGCTGTATAATTTTTCTTTTCTTGAACACAAAAGAAGATATTTTGAAGAATGATGGTAACCAAACATGTTTGGTTCTCTTTGATTTCCACTGTATGAAAAAAACACAATGGAATTCAATGAGAATAGAAACGGTTTAGTTACCTTTCTTCGAAATAACTTTGTGTTCCCAAGAAGAAAAAGTCATACAGGTTTGGAACGACATAGGGGGAGTAAATAATGGCAGAGCAAAATGAAAGCCTTCATATTCTCTATGAACTCACCCAGTGTAAGTCCCACCATGGTGCTGAGGTAGCCTGTGCCACTGCCCAGGTTAAGAAAGGACAAGCCAGGCTGCAGGTCTAAAGCCTCCATCACCTCAGAGTAGATACAGGGCGCAGAGAGGTGGATGTTGCCGTGTCTCCAGGCCAGATCCTTGTAGGCACTGTCACGGAATTCTTCCAGATAGTAGTCAGCACGATCAATGGCCCTGAAGGCATGTTCAACTAGATCTGAGCGAATGTACTGGGCCTCCTTCAGGTTGTCAATTAACTCGTCATTGTCCTCCCCAGCACTGACTGCACCTCCCATTTTAGCTCTTTTTTGGGTGCAAAACAGAAGAGAAGAAAATAAAAGACGTAAGTATGCACGTAAACAAAGATGAAAAACTGGAAACGTACTGTTGATTCATGTTGATTCAGGCCTTTAAAAAAGTTGAACTGATAAACAACCACTTTCATTAGTTTCTTGCTATAACAGTGGATCTGAACTGATTTTGCTTCAGAAAAGTGGCACCCCAACACAGTACCAGGACTGAGTAAGATATAAAACTGAAATTTATTAATATTACCATGAGATTAATAGACCAAATAATATGCTAAATTATTAACTTGACATAGGCTGAATAGGAAAATTTACAAATTAAGTTTCTTTAATTTTTTTACACTACTATTCAAAAGTGGGGTCGGTAATCATTTTTTAATGTTCTTAAAAGTATTTTATGCTCACCAAGGCTACATTTTTTTAAATAAAAAATACAGTAAAACAGTAATGAAATATTATTACAATTTAAAATATTTTTTTATAATTTAAGATAACTTTTAACATTCATTATTATCAATGTTGAAAACAACTGTACTATTTATTTTTTATTTTATTTTATTATTTTTGTTTTTATTTATTTTTACTTTTTTTTTTTTTTTACTTTTTGGTGAACAGAAATTTCTAAATAATAGCATTTATGTCAAATAGAAATCCTTTGTAATATAAATGTTTTTTTCTGTCACTTATGATCAATTTAATGCATCTTTTCTTAATAAAAGTATTAATTTATTTTAAAAAAAATATACTACCTACTGCCACCAAATGTTTTCTTAAGTTTGGTTAAATTTCTCTTGAATTTTGGTTGTTCCTTGCTCTTGGCAGCCAGTAATTAAACATACAAATCAAACTGAGGTTGCGGTAAGCCTATTTATTTCGCTATCCTAACTATGCACAATCATATTAGTTGAATTTTATGTTTTTAAATAAAATGCATATAATGCATTGCTGTCCCAGACAACACTTTAGATTGTGGCCCACTTGTTGAGAACCACTTCTCTAAAAGATGTTGGATTGCATGTCTGCTTAATTATACATCTGGGCATTTAACTAGGCCTACTGTCAAGCAAAATTTGTCCAAATACATTTTGTAATCAATCTGAAAACTCAGTTCACAAGTTCATAAGACTTCTTTTTGAGGAGCATTTTGCTTAAGAAGTGTGTTAGTGTTGTATTTCTTTAAATGTCACTGTATTTAATATTTTCCTATCTAATGCAATGACATGCGAATGTATTTACATGTCCAAATAATTTTGGGGCTTACTGCACATGTTTTGGTCCTAACAAAACAGCATTTTTGTCCAGTTAACGGGTGGTGGCGCTGGGCTGCGCCGTTGGAACGTTAAAGCTTCCCCAGAGACGCTGTGTAGAAACTGCGGATGTGAGGAATGCTCCACCAATCACCGCGCGCTCAAATGCAGCTGCGCCATTCGCTAACACGCATATTGTGCAGTGTTTTGTTGAACATCCGGGTAGTTACTCAAATACAGTTAAATATGAAATAACATACATCAGCCCTTTATTTTTAATCATCACGACCTGCCGTTCATTCTGCACGCTAAACTACTCGTTAGGCTCAGTGAAAATGCACTAACCAATAGTTTATCATTCTATTATCACGCCAGAATTATAATAGATAACAGCGAGCACGACTCATATAATGCGCTTACCTGCAACAAGTAGACGTAAATGAAGACAAAGACAGGAAAAATCGGGATGGAGGTGTTTTGGGTAAACTCGTCACGGGAAACACCCCGACGACTTCACAGTCGACCGAGCTGAATCGTCTGGCACCCTGAAACACCCTGATTATGGTCCGTTGAGGCTGTCCATTCGGTTAACTGTCTCTTGTTGTTTCTATCTCTCGGTTTCTTCCCATAAACGTTCACGGCGAGCAGCGCTGGATGTAAACATTCGCCAGCTGACTCCGTGACGTCACGCACACAAACACAAAATATGGGTCATGGAGCACATGGGTCCTGCACTACATGATTTTTATGACATATTCATAAACACAGCAGTCTCTGGTGTTGGTAAGGATAGGGGAAAAAACGGAAGCAGTCAACACATTTTTATTGGTGAATAATTCTCAATGTGGTTATTTCTATTTAATTATTGGATGGGCACATATATATTTTAGATATATAGGGCCTCAATTGAACATTTCCACCGGTGTTGCACAAAAGAAAAGATTGTTGACCTGTAGCAGGGCATGATGTCACACCATATGGGGTAAGTTGTCACAAAGGAGCCATCATGGCATGTCAATAGCCTATTAATGGTTTTTCAGCGACATGTAGACAGTAAAATAAATCTATAACTTTTAAAAGACGTGACAACTGCCTGGTCTCCTTGACCATTTCAAATCAAATCTGAAGGAAATAATCACTATATGCAAACTTTCAAAATTATCCAAAGCATTAATATTCAATATCATATTAATATTAATCTTGACAAAATACAAATACATCCCTTATGTTTTTATGTAGACTTTATCAGCTGAACAGAAATCGTGACTGACTAATTTTGTATCCAGCAGATGTCAGCCAAGTATCCTACTGAGAGAGTGTTTGGTTCCTATTTTATCTTTGCTCTAATAAATGTCAGAGAATCCAAAATTATTGGGACTGACCAATGTCTCACAAAATATCACTGTTGGATCAGGGGCAAATACAAGCTTGTAAATATGTAGTCATAATAACTCAATAGAAGCCCTCAGCATTAAATGCTCTCTGTTGTAGGTGATAGAATTCCCATTTATTTTATCAACAACATGGGCAAAGACTATCCATATGCAGCAACCACTAACACAGAGACATTTACAAAATAAATATGCAACAAGATCTCCATTCAATTTGTTCTTAAATGCTAAATAAATAACAATAAATACATCATATATGTTCAACCCACTTCACTCTGCCTGGAGGGTGTCAAAATACTTTTATGGAAAACAGAACTCATTAAATAAAGAAGAATATTAAAAAACAATATAAAAATTGTTAGGTAGAAAATATTTGCACTTAAAAAAAAGAGATTATAAATCTCTTGTCTTTAAAATAAATAGGAAGGTTTATAAAACAATTTGCTGTCGATATTCTTAAAATATTGCCTCTTTCACAACGCAGAAGGCAACGTCTCTCCTCTTAATAACTGTTTAAAAGCTGTGTATAGAATTTTGCTTTGTGAAATAAATTAAGTCCATAAATAGACACTGATTAATAAATAAATAAAATAACCCTTAACATGAATAAATAATACATTAAACTTACATTTCAAGGACCCAATTTAAATAGCCATAATAATAATAATAATTACAATAATAACATGACGATGGAACTACAAACTATTCATGGAAGTGCAATATCTATGTTCTCAAATACGATAAATATTACTGAATGGAACAGGAGAACATTTACACCAAATATGAGACAACATTATCATACAGGGATCAAATGTAGCAGTGCTGCATACTAATCATATTTTGTCAAGGGAGGTCATTAATTGTGAATTCACCTTCGGACATTACACATAAAACACTCTGTTACGCATACACACATAGACTCTCCTCCACAGACACACGACAATCTCACAACTTATTGTTCACGGCAACCTCCATGCACTGAGGGAAGTAAAAAGGCAGATCAGTGTCGGTGAGAGTTGCTCTAGAAAACAGTAACAAATGGTTTGCTCCAAAATATACCCCAAAACAAGAAGAGCCAGCTTGGTTTAAGAGGCAAAGGATCTTGTATCTCATCAAAATTGCTAAGCAGCATAGTTTGGAATTGGAATTTGGTCCATTTCTCTGACTTCCATGGGTCTCGTGATGTTCCGCGTTTACGGAGGGTGCCACATACAAAACCTGAATGTCCTTAAACAGTATTTTTATGTTGTTAGTCTGGTTATTTAACCCACAGTGTCTTGCAGCTGCCGCTCCTCTGCTCACACCTCAATGCCTTTGACAGCCTGGTTGATCGACTCGAGTAGGGCTCGGTTCTCTGGGTTCTGATAGCACTCCTTATCGGTGAACATGTGGGTCAGGGTATCCACGCAGGCGTCAAAATTCTGCTCAGTGATGGGCCCTTGCTGTGGTAAACAACAGATTACAGTTTGTTAAAAGCAAGCTACATAAAAGTATAATGTACAATGCTTGTTGGGCGTAGTCATAAAAGGTAGATAGCAAGCGGACTGACCATCTGTGGTAGACGGATGTTGGCAAGGCTGCGGATAAGAGCCTGGCTCAGGCCTGAGAGTTCCATGAACAGAGCCTCATTCTTCTCCTCTATGAGTTTATTCTCTTCCTCCATGCTCTTGAGGTTCTTCTCCATGGATGAGATCTATTGAGGGATAGAATTGCATGAATAAACAGCAGCTGCGCGGTCAAGATGTGTATTCTATCTTTGTGATGATAAAATACTGTCATTTGTAATATTGTATTTAAAGTACTGTAAATATTATCATTATATTTCTTATGGAAATATTTCTTATCAAAAAAGCTTATTACATGCAGTTACCACCAGTGAAGGACCTAATGCTATATGCTCAGATCTCATTTCAGCCATATATAGAGTGAATCTGTTTCATATCTGTCTTTATCACAGTTTCTGATACGTGAACTGTTCAAAAGTTTGGGGTCAGTAAGATTTTTAATTTTGAAGGAAATAAATTTGGCAGGGATGCAATTAATTGATCAAATAAAAAAAAATTACATTACAAAAAAAATCTATTTCAAATATATGCTGTTCTTTTGAACTTTCTATTCATCAAATAATTCACAGAAACTTTCACAGGTTTTCACAGAAATATGACGTGACACTGAAGACTGGAGTAAAGCCTGCTGAAAATTCAGCTTTGCGATCACAGGAATAAATGTAATTTTTTTAAATATATAAAAAAAATTTTTTAAATTGCAATAATATTTCACAATGTTACTGTTTTTGTTGTATTCTTGGTCAAATAAATGCAGCTTTGGTTACTTCTTTCAAAAACACTAAAAAAAACTTACCAACCTCAAACTTTTGAATAATAGTGTATATATGCATTTATAAATATGCATTTAATAAAAGCAGACCTGTGTATGGAGGTTGTCCATGTCTGCTTCCATCTCAGAGTTCGACTCATTCAGTTCATTGATCTCTTTGTTCAGCTGTTTAATGTCTTCATCATTGTCAAGAACTGAAGGGAATAGAAAAACAATGCATATGTTAATGAAGAGCACAACATGAACATAATGGGGATGAAAGAAGAGAAGCAAATTATATTTGATCTTACCATCACTTGCCCTGAATTTCTTGCTGATGTAATCATCTCCTGGGAACCTGGCTCTCTTCTTGTTAGCTGAAGCTCTAGGGCAACCTGATAGACTGTAGAAACACATTATGATTAAGAGATATGAAAAAATGTATTGTCTTAGATTTATTGTTTTTATTACACCATCTTTCGGTAACCCCAGAAAGCCAAAAACAGGCATTTCTAATATTTCAAAACATATTACTTACCTATGGCATTTCCAAGACAATTAGTTTTATTATATATCTAGCATATATAGCAGTTTTAATTCACTCACAGCTTGCCATTTATCAAGACTATTTAATACCATAATACTAATATTTATCTGTAAATTTGACTAGGTCCCCTCTGTACCTGCGATGAGTGAGAAAGCTGCCGTTGGCATGTCCTGATCCATCACATCCTGGCGTAGGGCAGGTCGGGCCCTCAGTCTTGAAGGCCTTCCAGGAGAATGGAGTGCCATTTAACATGCCCTCCTTCTGCTGGCGTGCTGCCAGCGGGCACCCATAGGCACTGCGGTGGGTGGCATATTTCCCACTGATATGCCCCAGACTGTCACAACCCGGCACCGGGCACCTATAGAGAGGTAAGTGATGAACTGGCAGTCAGGTTGGCATTCTCTAAAGATACAGGCTGTGCTCAAAAGTTTTCGTACAGAAAAAGTTGAGATTGTTTTGTAAAAAAAAACATACTTTAAGATCTCAGAATCTTCCTTGTCATCCTTAGTCGGGGTGGTTTTGATTCCTCCCTTCTTGGCACGTGGACATCCAGACAGACTGCAATAGAGAAAGTGTGAATGTTATTATTTTTTTACATTCGGCGTTTAATATTTTTGACTAGTTGCAAAGCTTGACACTGAATCCAAAAGTGCATCTTGAAAGTAGGTTCAGTCAGTGTAACATCTCTTAATTAACATACCTTCTATGGGAAGCATAGTTTCCAGTGAGGTGTCCTGATCCATCACAACCTGGGGTAGGGCATCTGGAGGTCACAAAGAGAAAGACAGGTTAGCGTGAACATAGCATTGCTTTAGAAAGATACAATTCTGGATAATCTAAATAAACATTTAGCCTTCAGCCTTCAGTGTCTCAGCTGGTTTGATGCATCTCTAGGACACAGTCCAAGAAAATTATATTTTTGGCCACTGAAAATATAAAGTGATTACTGCTTCAAGAGTATAAGAATAGCCAGCAAAAGGAACAGTAAACAGTGCTTTGCAGTAACAGCAGTATTATGTAGAGTCAAGTAGAAGCAGTAATCGGTAAAGGATTCATTAGAGGAAAAAATAGAGCACAGACATACTTGAGTTCAGCAGTGTGGGCAGCCATGAGGGTCCGAAGACTTTTATCAGCAAGGGGACAACCAGAGAGACTGAAGAACAGTAGAAAAACACCAGGAAGAAAGAATAGAGGGAGGAAGATTTAATTGAAGATGGAAGAGATATATATTTTGTAGTATGTCACTGATTTGTCATTTCTATGTATGTATTTTAGCAAATATATACATACAAAGAGACATGAGTAAATGAGTTGCCCAAATGCATTAAAGAGACATAGCATTTGTCTGCAGTCAATATACAGGTTTATGCTATAGAGAGCTGAAGCTGTTAGGGTTCAACAGAGAGGAAAACAGATAAAGAAAAAAAGAAAACACAAGTAGGGCTTGTGTTCAGAGTTGAAATACTGTGTCAGCTTCTGG